GGAAATGGTTTGTAAGTCTGCAAAGAACATACATCTGACATGGGGTATGGTTCAGCGAAATGCATTCAAGCTGAAGGTACTACATTTTTTGCTCCTGTGACAGAAATGAATGAAATCATAAGCTGCTTAATATAAGTTTGGATCACATAATTACAAAAGTAATCATTCAGAATACGTGATTTCTACATACTGAAAATACATCAATTACAATAAACTGCAGATAGCTACAAATTCCTATCTGGAGTAGTGAGGGCAAGGGTGTGATGAAATAAAGGGAATTTGGCTGGCATTCCAAAGATGCTGCCACTGTTCATTATAAGCTTAGACTGTGATTCTGCCTCAGAGCCTAGCAGCTATGAGTTGACTCGAACTCAGTGTAATTTCAGAGCAGTATCAGTACTGGCTGGGTTTCCGCCTTGGGTCCTTTATTTCGGATATGGATTCCTCAGCTCTGGGAGACGAACCAGGAATTCATATCCCCCCCTCAATGTCCTGTGCCTCACCGTGGCGAGGGGGTGTAACAATGAATGATGCATCAGTTAATGTCCACGAAAAAGCATAGGCCCAATTCACAGATTGTTTCCATCACAATGCAGGCTGTCTATGCATTTCTGAAAATCTGGAATTGCAAACTACTTCTTCGTGGATTTTCTTCCATATAGCTGGCACGTAAAATCAGTTAGGTCTGCAATGGGCTCCTAGTTCAACTTGAAATTTTTCCATGTGAAGAGGCATCCTTCATTGGCTAAACAGGACACTGGTGCACGTGTGCATCCACAAACCGAATCAAGCGAAAAATGTGAAGTAACAGTAAATTCCTGAAATAACATAATCTGAAAGATGATTACTTGCTGTCTGTGTGAAGGACAACTAGAGGCAAAATCTGCTGCCCCCCAAGTCCATTCTAGTACGTCCTCGTCGTGGGGGGCGGGCAACGCAAGTAAGGGGTTGTCCCACTTGGTGCAACACGGTATTGTCCAACAGGGAACCCTGGAACGCGGCAAAACTAGAATGGTGAAGTCAGTATCCACACTCCACACGAAATGGCTCAACTGCAAGTAGGAATGAAGAATGCTCCATTTCCTGGAAGAACGAGAGACAGAAACAGTGGTCACTTCACCAGAAGTGGAAATGAGTCTGAAAGGATTTCAAGTCTCCCCACACCTTCAAAAACAAGACAAGACCAGAAAGAGGAGAGAGAATGGAGGAGGAGAAGAAGAAATAAGAAGAGAAAAGGGGAAGAAGAAGAAAACACTGGAGAAAACAAGATGGAAGAGAAGGGTACAGAGAGGAGAAGAGAAATTAGAAATTAGGAAGAGAAAAACAGAAGCATAAGGAACAGTGCAGCGAATGGACGGGAAGAGAAAAGAGAAGAGGAGAGAACATAAATGAAGCTGTCCCACTATACGCCATGCAAGTGCTTGTGGGGACGGGTGGGACCCAGAGACAGCCTGGACGCAGGGGCTAGAGGAGGAATCCTCTGCCCTGTCTGGGATTGAACCCCCTGGTCGTCCAGTCCATAACAAAGTCACAAAAGTGACTGAGTTACCCCCTGGGTCATGAGCAAAGACGACAGGGGCGGCAAATAGTAGGAGACAACGGACAACACATGAAGAAAGCAATGAAGTCTTAATATGAGAGAACTCAAGAAATGAGAAGAGAAGATGCAAGTGGACTCAAGGCAGAATCAGGGAACAGAACAGAGGAGGAAAGGAGAGGCAAGGTGAGAGAGAACAGGAGGGAGAAGAAAGAAGAGAGCAGGGATAGGACAGGATAAGGCACAAGATGGAACTTGGAAGAGGAGAGAATACAGGACGCGTACCAGAGGTAACTGCAGAGGTGGCAGATTCAACAGAAGATGAAACGTGACGTGTGACGTAGTTTACAGAAGACAGAGGAGGACACGTGAAGAGACAGAATATCACATAGATGCTGCAGAGAGGAGAAGATGGAAGCAGACAGACTAAAACAGAGGAGAGTATTGAACGTACAAGTGGAGAGATGACAGAATAGGAGAGATCACAAGAAATTTGTCGACAATACTGAAGAGAGAACGTGTCAGAAGACTGTGTTGTGTGTGTGTGTGTCTGTGTTCATGTCCCGTGCTTCAACACTCCCATAACCCAATCACGCAACAGAACATTTGCTGAGTGGCAGCGGTCACAATTTCCCTGTCACGCTATTTTTGCCCACGCACTCCTCCTAAGTCAAGTCATGGCATTCAGCTCCCAATGTCCTCTTGAATACCTTGTCAGGAGACACTGCACGCGGGCATCGTTTATTGGCCGCTTGAGGGAAA